TTCCGGGCACGTCCCACCGGGAGGAGGCCCCGAGGAAGACCCAGGACACGCTGGAGGGACTATGTCTCTCGGCTGCCCCCGGAGGAGCTGGAAGAAGTGGCTGGGGAGAGGGAGGTCTGGGCCTCCCTTCTGAAGCTGCTGCCCCCGCGACCCGACCCCGGATAGGAGGAAGAAAATGGATGGATGGATGGATAGTTAACGAGAAACTCAACATTTTGACTCTGAATACAACTAATCTGGAACCATGGCATACATGTCAAGTTGTATGTATATTTCCTAAATTACATGTTTTGCAGGCACACGGAGATATAGAGAAATTGCACTAATTTTTTTAATTTATTTTATTTTTCAAATCTCATGGATTTTTATTTCCAAAAAACTCAGCTTCAGTTTTATTTTAAGTCTCAGAGCCAGTAAAATACAGTTGCATTGCGTGTGACTAATACAGGTTTTTAATTTTTTTTATATTTTTGTGGAAGTTGCAGATTTGTAGGGTTTTGAGGTTGTTGACATGCTTGTGGTATTAAACTGGTATATAGTAAACTGTAAATCCCGGACAAATTTTAAACTTTCAGAGTATCATATAAAAAATTAAAATTGGTACAAATAAAGTCCAGGTGAAAGTGTTCAGGATTAGATSTTTACAGGGAGTTTTTGAAAAACTGTCATGATGCAAATATTTTTCCTGCTCCTGTCGCTGCAGACTGTCGCTGTGGTTTAATGATGGATTATTTTTAAGTAATGTCACAAATTACTCAAATTTAAACTGAATGTGTTTTTGAGTGTGGAGAGATGGAAGTTGAAACGTATTCTTCTTTTCGATGTGTTTGGAAATGATCCTCTTTGAGTAATTAGTCGCTCAGATCCAGCATGAGTCCATATGACCCAGATTAACAAAAGCTGATCTTTAACTTTACCTGAGTTTGTTTTCCTCCAGTCAGGGTGAGTCAGTAGCTGATGCAGTGGAGCTCTGAATCAGACTGATCACATTTACATTTCAGAMAAAAGAGCCACAGGGTTCCACATCATTACTCAGACCTGGAGTTGGCTTTTGATGGGTCTGAGTTCAGCTGACTTCATTCTCTGAAGTAAAGTTTAAATGGAAACACACTTGTACCAAACGTTGTTAGCTCTTGGACTGAGCTGTGAAAGGATCGAGCTCTGAGATGAGATTTTAAGTCCTGAGGCTCTCAGAGGTGGCGTTAGAGGACTTCCAGCTCATCTGTCTCTGCTGCATATCTTCATAAAARCATGRCACACAAACAGGAGAAGCTTTGTTCATTATTTCACCCCAGGTGTRTCTCTGCTCGTCTACTTTTATTGCCCCGGTCAGTGTTTGCCTTCTGTACCTGTCCTGATGTGCAACAAGGGCAGTGTTAGTGCCACGATGCATGCTGCGGTCTGATAAAAGCTTATATGGTTCTCACTGTTTGATCAGTCTGTTTTTATGACTCTCTCAGGATACTGTTCGTTGGACGTATAAAGGAACATCATGGTGAGTTCATCAAACTTTTTAATATCCAGATCTGTCAAACGCTTTTAATGTCTGAGGCTTGTGACGTCAAAAACAACAATGATGGCAGAAAGTTCACTTAAACTTTTTAAGTTTCTTGATAGTTATTAGACAGATTAGATTGTTTTTTGCTTGGGATCTGATGATAAAAGCTGTGAATTGTATGGTTCTGGTGGAGAAAGGGAACAACTATTTAGTGGTTCTGTGATACGCCTCTCGAGAAGCTGAAACACACAATGTGGTGTATTCACACCTGACGCATTGCAAAAAAGCACCAAACACAAAATGACAGTCTGTTTTTAATCCGGACCAAACACCCTCAGTTGTTCAAAACAAAGTATTTAATTTGTCCACACAAATACAATTTAGTCAATCTGAAACAACCATTAATCTTGTTTTTAACATCAAGATTTAAAAATAAAAGCAGAATATTTTGAAATAAATTGAAACAGCTTGAGTTCAGCACACCTGCTTTGTTTTCCTCTGATAAACTCACGGCTCTCTTCACAGTTTGTGCTTTTAAAGAGACTTCAGATATTTTCAAACAAGGTTGTGAGCAATTAGTCACTCTTCACTTTCACAACCTCCTTCCATCCCTGAGAACATGAAGACAAGTAGTAATAAAACCTGAAATCATGTTTCTGTGGCAGAACAAACAAACCTGGGAGCTCACGCCAGATAAAAGGTTTTATAGCTTTAAAAATGGCTGAATAGTAAGTGACAGGAAACTTTTTATTTTTTTTTTACATGGGAAGAAATGTTAAGTTTGACCAAACAGCTTCTTCAGGGTCAGTGTTTAATTATTGTTTCACAGAGAAGAACCCACGAGTGCCCGAGGTTCATTCAAAGGAAATGATGACATAAGCAGGCAAAATGTTTTAAATCATCAAACTCATCACAAATRATTCATTGAAGTGACTCAGTTCATAACAGTAAACAGATTATCAGATAAAAACTTTAATATCTGGACCTCACCTTCTGGTCTGTTGAGGTTTTTATGAATGTGACCCAGTCTTACTGGTTTAAGACAAACGTTGCTCCAAAGTCAGACATTTAACTAAATCAAACTGCTTCATCAGATGTTACACATTTTTTTATTATTTTAGTTATTTTTTCTGTTTAATACTTTTATCAAGATGTTATAWATTTGCTTTCTGTAAATGATCTCCTGACCTGTCACTGGATGTTTTATGTCTTAGGATGTGTTTTCAGATGTGATGACTTCTTTAATTCTTATAACCTATTTAAAAGTGTGATAACAGTACCAGTTTTCTGTGTGTGTGTGTGTGTGTGTGTGTGTGTGTGTGTGTGTGTGTGTGTGTGTGTGTGTGTG